TTCAAATGGGTAGCACAGTTTTTCAAAATAGGTATCGTAGTTTTTCAATTGGGTAGCGCAGTTTTTCAAATGGGTAGCGCAGTTTTTCAAATGGGTACAGTGGCGCCGAGAGGCCGGGGCTTACGGGGCAAGTGCCAAGGGGCCCGGGTCCAACAGGGGCCCAGTCTGCTAGTCTATTTTTTTAAATATTTAAAACAAGTCTTATTTACTCCACGATTAAACTAACCAGGGATATTTTTGCTTTAATATAACTAAATAGACTATCCATAATATCGTAGAACGTCGAAGGAAAACATCTTGTCATCTTCAGTGATTTGTGGCAGTGACAGTTGTCTCTCCCTTGTTGGGGCCGTGCAGCAAATCTGCCCCGGACCCTATAGTCGCTCTCGGCGGCCCTGAATGTGTAGCGCAGTCTTGTAAATGGATAGCACAGTCTTCCAAATGGGTAGCACAGACTTTCAAATGGGTAGCACAGTTGATTTCGCAGTTTTTCAAATGGGTAGCACAGTTTTTCAAAATAGATATCGCAGTTTTTTTTTGTAAATGGGTAGCACAGTCTTGCAAATGGATAGCACAGTCTTACAAACGGGTAGCACAGACTTTCATATGGGTAGCACAGTTGGTATCGCAGTTTTTCAAATGGGTAGCACAGTTTTTAAAAATATGTAGGCCTATCGCAGTTTTTTTGTAAATGGGTAGCACAGTCTTACAAATGGGTAGCACGGACTTTCAAATGGGCAGCACAGTTTTTCAAAACAGGTATCGTAGTTTTTCAATTGGGTAGCGCAGTTTTTCAAATGGGTAGGGCAGTTTTGTAAATGGATAGCACAGTCTTACAAATGGGTAGCACAGACTTTCAAATGGGTAGCACAGTTGGTATCACAGTTTTTCAAATGGGTAGCTCAGTCTTGTAAATTGGTAGCACAGTCTTTAAAATGGTTAGCACAGACTTTGAAATGGGTAGTACAGTTTTCCAAAATAGGTATCAGAGTTTCTTGTAAATGGATAGCACAGTCTTACAAATGGGTAGCACAGACTAACAAATGGGTAGCACATACTTTCAAATGGGTAGCACAGTTTTACAAAATATGTCTCGCCGTTTTTCAAATTGGTATCGCAGTTTTTTCAAATGGGTAGCGCAGTCTTGTAAATGGAAAGCCTCAGTCTTTCAAATGGGTAGCACAGACTTTCAAATGGATAGCACACTTTTTGAAATGGGCATCGCAGTTTTAGCGCAGTTTTTCAAATGGAAAGCGCATCATTTAAAATGAATAGCACATAGTTTTTCAAAGGTAGTACAGTCTTGCAAAGGGATAGCATAGACTTCAAATTCAAATGGATAGCACATTTTTTTTTTCAAATGCGCTTCGCAGTTTTAGCGCAGTTTCTAAATGGAAAGCGCAGACTTTCAAATAGATAGCACAGTTTTTCAAAGGTAGGGCATTCTTGCAAATGTGTAGCACAGAATTTCAAATGGATAGCACATGGATAATATGACAAACAGAGACAGAGCACATAGCCCGTAGGTAGCCGAACCCTTATTAAGGGGCACGTCCATCTTGACCAAAAAAGTGACCCCTTAATAGGGGTGTCACCTGCATATGGCTATCACTATTTAGGTATCCCCTTAATAGGGAGTTTTTTCTTTAAAATCTCTCAGGCAAATGTCTTAGTTTTGGTGATACCATTGTGGTATATGATGGGTAGAGTAACGGGAAACTATACTTCAGAATAATATGATATTTATTAAAATATAGGCCTAAAACTAATAAACCATTACTTAAATAAAATAATGTTTTCACTGTAAAATTTTGCACTTTTTTAATGAAAAATTTCATCGTATTGTTTGTTTAAATTCATCATCAAATTCATCATCAACGTTACTTTTTTTAAGAGGTTATCATGTCTAAGGTCAAGTGGACTCCTGAAATGATGAACTGATTAATAGAAAACCTTGTGTAAAACATTTTAAATTTATTTCGTGTTCTCCAGCGCCTACTTAATAGGGACAGCATTTTTACATATATAGGTATTTAATTCAAATTAAAAATTCGTTTTTTCCCCCGGAGGTGCTACCACTGTCTAAAATTGCTGTTTGAATAACAGTGTGATATCACCATAAGACCGATTCGTTACGTTACGTAAATGTTGATTGTGTTATTCTGTTGGATGAGTACTTTCGTAAAATAAATGTTAGACAGTCTCGATTACATACATTGCTATAAATTTCAGGAACATAAAGAATAAAAGTTTTTCCACCCACCCCTCACATTTTTCTGCATTGAAGGGCAAATATTTTTTTAAGTGTAATAACCATTTGTATATAGATTATAGGTACATTTTTGTTGTTTTTGGGGATATGTTAAACAATTGTGCCCCTCACTAATAGAGGTTGCACCAATCATCTGACACACTCCACATAATATTAAGGGTGTCCCCGTAACAAGGTTTGACCGTAGTGTTAAAGGATATATTTCCCCTCATTTCGCAGACAAGTGTTCCCTTAATATTAATAACTGAATTTTGTTTTCAAGTTGTCGATAAGCCGGGTAAGTTAGCTGCAGTGCTAGCATCTGAGCATTTGTACCGGTATATGGAATACATAATAATAATATACTTATGAAGGGTCTAATTATAAACCAGTGCAATTTGAAGCAAAATGAATTCTTGTCGTAAAATTACTGGTTAAAGTATTTCGTGTTCCTGGTTTGTATAACTTTTGCCGCAACTGTTGTCGTGTAACTATTTATATAGTAATAAAAGTACTAGTTTAACCATGGTTTAACATTTCGTACGTAATTCTATTGCTATCAATTAATTATTGAAGTATGTTGGATAAAATAAAGTCGTATTTTTTCCGCTTCAGATAGTTTATGTTCATTTACCAGGAAACTAGTTAATAATAGAAAGTTCTTAAATTTATGTTGATATAAAATGGATATGAATTAACTATCATAGGAAACATGTATTCTTCCTTTCTAATTTTGCTTTTAATTATATAGCAGCACTTGCTTGAAATATGGATTACCCAAGAAAGCCTGAAATGGACTTTTTTTTCATGCAGTGACACGTTACATGAAAATATTTCAATTTCATTTTTTTCTCTTTCTATTCCATTTTATTAATTTAAATTTGGTGTTTGAAAACTGATTTTGAGTTTGATATAAATCAGAGAATAATCCTGTCATTGGAGTTACTGTAGGCCTATACGTTATGATTTATACCGCGTATTTTTCCAAATACCAGGGAGTTGTTGCAATGACAAGTATCAATTGACGTATCGTTAACTTTAGTAATTGTATTATAGATTTGTAAAGAAGTATATACATACTGAAAGCATGCTCAAAGCATGGCGGTATAACATCTCTGTTCTA